ATTTTTGTTCTTAAACAAAAATCTGTAGTCCAGTGATAAACGTTCCGAGTCTGACTCGTTGTTCATATTCCGATAAACACACAAACGTCTGTACCGAATCCTCGGGCATTCAGTTGTCCGTTCCTTTCTCTCTCATCTTAAAAGGTGTGTTGGATTGACGACAACCGATATACCATTCGTTGTAATGATTAATTTTATTGACGACTCGGTTTTCATGAAAGCTTACTTACATTCCACCTTTCATTTTAGCTTTGATTGTTGTTAGTGTTAAGGGAATTTATTCTTTTGATGTGGTTGTGTTTGGCTGGAACTTGCCAAATCATGAATTGATGAGAACGGAGTCTGAAAAAGCGAAGAACAGTTTTTGACACGTGAATANCGTGAATACCTTAAATGATAATCACTGCATAATGTGCAGTTTGCCTCAATTTCTCTCAGTACATTGAAAAAGTCCTAATCTTCTGGGCAGCGCTATTCATTTAGGTTACTATTCATGCAAATGCTTATAGTGTTACTATTATTTTTCGCACTTGTCTGAGTTCAGACTGCCAAACAAGTTAGGGTCGAATTTCCGAGATCCCATAAATTTTCGTATGATACTTTGTAAAGCTGCCTTTGAGCCTGAACTTTGTGGCTCGAAAAATGTGAAAGTGGTACTGAATGAAGTTTTTCGATAAAAAGGATAATAGGGGTGGTGGTGGCCAAGTGGTTAGGTCACCAACTAGTGAACTGGGTGTCCCGGGTTCAAACCGATCCACTACCGCCCGTCTTCCCTATATCTGTATTTCCTCAGGCAGCCGTTGTATGGTCGCAGCCCCGTTTCTGAAAGTTGACTATAGATTTGTAAGTTCAATGAATCGAAAAAGGAAGCAAATTGACATTTATTACGAGTTGGATCCAGCAGTTGGTTTCAGCTCCATACTACATACATCACATGGCGTTCATACGGCATTGTGCACTGAATACCGTAATTTGATAGGTATCGACTCCTGATTGCTTATGCTCTCAGAGTTGGGTCGCTAAGACTGAGCAACCAAATACGCTGTGTGCAATATATTGCGAGAATTAGATGATTGACTCGTACAGTGAATTTCGTCGTATACCGTGCACACGACACGTGAACTGAAACACTATGAATTCATGTAAAACTGTTCCAATCTGATTGAATCGTATCACGAGCGCAAACCCAAATCATCGTTGAACCCGGGACATGTGACCTTTATAACAATGAAGAAAATTTACCTGGTGGTGAATCTTTCACTCAAATAAATAAGCGTTTGCAAGAATATACTCCCCTTACAAACAAACATTGGTCTGTATCTTTGAATTTTGATGTGGTGTTTTTCCTTGTGTCATATTACTACTGACTATTGTTTTTACTCGGAAACAAATAAGTATGAAATTGAAGTTTCATTTCAGTAGTGTTTCACCGGAATAAACATTACTAAGCAACTTCAATGGAATGAAATTTTTAGAACAGGAAAACGTTCCAACCGCATTGTGTTTCGAAAAGAGGATATTTAGTAGAGTCGAACTGCACGTAAATCACTTGATAAGCATACGGCGGATAAACGCGATTTTTGGCAACAAAAATCAGAATAAGTGTTCGCTAGTAATCATTCGACGCGTAACTAAGATTATATACGTCATGGATAAACCGTTGTAATCGGTTTACGGGAGACTTTGTTAAGTTAGACTTATTTTCGACTTTCATAAATGAAAGAATAATTCATTTGAATAGAATGCACAGTTAAGACAATCAAACGATAGATTATGTTGATTTGATCACTTTACTTTGACATAGTGATTGATTTTTTAATATCGAATCATCGGATTGAAAATAGAAACAAACATATGAGGCTATTTTGTCATGAATACAAGTGTTGAGTTCTCATCCGCAGGTTGGACAATGATTTACTTGGTCGATTGACACGCAAACGGCGGATCAGCTTGAGACAGATCAATTTGCATGGAAGCTGTGGTTTGAGTTTCGTCGGATTTCGTTTACTGGCTGCATGCTCTAATTTGCAAGACATCAATTTGTCCGGATGCCTCGGTTTATCGGTACGTGAAATTCAATTGTTCGATTCATTGGAAAATGCATTCGGCGGAAAAAACTAGCAAGAAACATCGAAGCCTCTCATTAAATTCCACGTCTTTTTTGCAAAGTATCAAACTCCTTTTTAGTTGCAAACACAATGACAAAATAAAACTTATCATCACACTTATAAACAGCAGCACCATAGAGGTACTACAACTGAACACATGTTTGTCTGATTGTGTTCTCCTGACAATCGACACCACACCTGCTGCCGAATACGGTGCTAAGTATATTTGGTCAAAGAGTGTTTCTCGTGGGTATGGTGAAAACAGTTGTGTTGTCGTTTGGCCATGCGAATTTGTTCGCTACCCTAAGATGGTGTGAGCTATACCTTTTTCAACTTCAAGCGAAACCATCGTAACTTGAATCGAACCAATCGCATTCGACGGGGAACCCCAAAAGAGGATTGGTGTTTCGGTCGTCTAACGTCACCCATTGGACCGGCTCTTTCTAAACCCCGTCCAGTTCGAACGAATTAATTCCGTATACAAACAAAAGTACATTTTGAGTGAGTTACCAAGCGAGACGAAGAAAAGATCGCTAATCACAACGGACAGAACGACACAACAAAACAAAGAAGGGAAAGAGAGGATGAAAGTTTCGGTGTAGTGGCCTGTTCTTTTTCTGAGTAACCCACTTTATCCACGTTCCCTCATTATCTCAAGATTCAGCCCTCTCCAGTTCAACAAACGACCTGTGGATATACAACAGTACGATGATTTCGTTCGTTGAGANGCAGACCAGCTGACCAGCCGCTGCACGAGCCCATAGACGAAATTCCACCTACCATCTCTTCTTCCGTGAACCATAAGTGGTAGTGATGCCTCTTGTGATCCATATTGTCACATTATGAAGGCTTTTGTTGTTCCTTAGGAACAATGAAGTCCAAAACGAAACAGGATCTTCTACCGAAGATTCGGTGTTTAAGTAGGAGATATTCTTCATGTTTAATAATTCCTGGTTCATTACGATCGTTCACGTGAAATGATCCCGCTAATTCCTTTGGAACCCCTTTGTTTTCTTTCGAGAGCTTTAAGACTTATGAATGAATGTGGGTGGTGTCTGATGCGTGACAGATTTGGCACGTAGCACTGACGACCGTCAGCAAGCTGGGCAACAGGCATGACTGAGGTGTGCCTCATTACAACACGGAAAGAGCGTGGGAAGGCAGGCGGTCAACCCGGGTGTGGAAAAAAACGTTTGATTAATACGGTGCGCTGAACGGAAGCGGATCCAACCGCAGCGTTTCTTTATCAAGTCAAAGTGACAGTTTCGCAAATCAAATTGATAGTTGTGCAAACCAATCTTAAAATGGTGTAGTAGAGCGAAAATACCTGTCCCATGAGTGCGATTTCGCGCAAAGCGGACGCTTGGACTTTGATGGACACGTTCGTGAACGAAAATGGAACGGAAATGGTATTGATTTTCCGATTCCCAATAGTTCCATGAATACTTTTTCTCGGTACACACGTATGTTGACCGCCCAAATTTACACATTTTCCTTTTTGTTGTTTGACTACTAATGAATAGTATAATGATTGGAGTTGATTTCTCTTGGCTCAGGTAATCAGATAAAAACATCATTTATATTGTTAAACATTTTCCGTGTTTGCTAACATAGTAAAGTACAGAAGCGATGTTTATGACATGTTAAATTACGCATTCTGGTTGGTTGGGCTGTTTGAGGGTTTGAGGAAAGTTTCGAGATTTTGAGTTTCCTCGTCCGTTCTGACGTGCTACCGTATGGAATTACATTTCACTTGACTTGTTTTTCTTCATTTCACCCGACTTAACCTGTCACTGTCGTGAGTCTCAGACAGACCCAGTGAATTTCGACTGTGCAGCAAGAGTGCCATCGGCACTCGGATGGACTGGGCGTAACAACAAGAGCATTACAAAGCGTACCAGTCGGTAATCAGCCAGTATCGTGTTGGGGTGAAGGATTCTAAGTGCCATAGATCGCGGAATATGATCAGATGACAGAAAGGGTAAGAAGGAATGTACTTATTTAAGGTCACGGATGAGAGGGATGAGACGATGGAGCAATCGCACTGTATTGGCTCAAGCGTTGATCGAGCATGATTCACTGGTATCAGCGGAGGGGGACAAAAACACAATACACATACAGAGGCGTACGCGTGCTAGCACGATAAACGATCGATATGTATCTCATCTGAATTGAGGCGTGACTGACCGAAGCCCATCCCACAACGGACCCCCGCACTTTAACGGGAGGTAGAGAAATCGGAGTTGCGTGGTAGTCATCCAGAACGCTCTGGGAGGCTTCTCAGCGCCGGTGAGGTCAATGTGACAGCTTGAAATAATCCGGGGACAGCTTGAAATGATCGCAGGACAACTTGAAATACTCGCAGGACAGCTCGAAATAATCCGGGGACAGTTTAAAGTGATTCCCGGACAGCATGATATGATACTGAGACAACTTGACATGAGAAAGGTATGGTATTGCTCCAAAAATATCTTATTTTGGTCGCATCAATTTGGTCGACGACGATGCTTCTCGGGATACATCAACATTTGGTCAGATGCTACTTCCATGCATCAGTGTGAGATCCAATGTTCAATAATGGGTGTGATGGTTTTGGCCAATCTGTCTGATATCTCGCTAACTTCTGATCTGTTAGGATTTAGGTCGACTATTTCTTGAATCCACGCAACGGACTTTTATCTTCCACAATAAAATTTCCCTTTAGTGATCGAAGTCTCGTTGTGTAATTAGCTTCATCTGATTTAGTTTCTACATTCATTCATTTAATTTGCTCTGAAGTTTTGTCTATTCGACAGCGTAAAGATTACAGGTGTGTCTCCTTTTCGTTCCGTAGGAAGAATCTGTGCGTCTCATCACGGAATCCTGTCACTCGTTGCTCTATCTGAACTTGTCCCACACACTAATAGGTGATCAAGCAATGCGTCACTTGGCTTCGTGAGTTTGATCTATCCTTTTTATGGATTTTGTAATGTTAAAGGTCATAATGGACGGAGTCATGTGACACGTTTCTCCTCCTAATCGAGCCTATGTTTCAATACTAACGCATGTGTTCAAGTAGAGTCACGTCAAGTATATGCACACTGAATTCCAGCACACCACCTCGAGTAATATCTTGCCGAAACTCTCCTGTGCCCCCTCTAGCACGTGTGCTCGAAAACAAGGTGAGGGTAACAAATGAACGACACCTTAACCTTGGACTATAAATTATTTTTTGCTCTGTATGACCTATTGTTTGGGTGATATTATAAATACGTTGGTTGGTGCGCAGTCATTTTAATTGAAATGCAAACTCTTTTGTTTATATAACTTGCATAAGTCGATGAAGTTGACTGACACCATATTTCCTAGAATCTTGTATGGTTTGAAGAATTAAGCGAGTGCCAAAACAAACAAATAACACGCTTCTTGAACTGGGGTTAGGGAAATTCCGAATGAACTTGAATCTTACACAACTAATCATGAGGAGCAAGGGGAATTAGCTGTTGCTCCACCTTTAGATGATCATCAAACACTATCTATTTTGCAAATAAAAACTAGCAAAGTATCTTCATTTGTTTCACTGTAATATATTCTGATGAATAATGTCCGGAGCATACCTTATTTCTAATATAATTCACTGTTCAATCAATTTCACAATATGAACCATAAATGAACATTCTGAATCATCCGGAAGTACATACCACTAAGATTAAGGATGTTATTACTATCCTGTTAAAATAAATACGACATTTGCGTGCTTTAATTGATTAAGGCACAACCGCGACATTCCATCATTATGCATTAACATTTGCAACAGGCATCATCAGGCACGGAAACAGATCCGAATATCTCAGCTGTTTCGTTTGTCTATGGTTTACACTTTCATACATAAGCAATCTTTGTACCAAATCCGGAGTACTAACACGTTCTTGGGAGAATAGGTATGCACGAATAACCATATCTACCTACAATGCAAGGAGTATTGACGGAATAAAAAGAAAATCTGAATGCAACTGTCCGGAAACGTGACCCGCTTCACGAGAACTCAAGGCTCATATACTGTCACCAACTTGAGTGGTGGTAGCCTACTATTATCGGTATACGTCGGTCTATGATTTTCACCACTTAATTCCGTTCACTGCTGCATCCATTACATGAGAGAGAACTTTATTCCTGTTGGATCAAAGACCGCTTGTCTGCACTATAGATCTTAGAGATCTATCACTTTTTAAATCAAGTCCAGAACAGCGTGACTCTAGGACCAGCTTGTAGTGCTATAATTCCAGAAGACGGTGCTGGTCGAGGATAAACATTTATCTAGGATCACAGATGGGACAACAGTAATGTGGCATACAAAACACAGAAAATCTCATCGTAAACATACCACCACAGTTTCTGGCCGCGCGACGGGTAATGAACCTAGCAATCGATAGTTCGTTCTTCTTTGAAATACAGCAATGTGCCCTCGGTAATCTTAATTTTTCATCAACTGTGTTGCCTACTACTTATTGTCATTCATTAAAAACAGTCCCAGGGAAAATGTTCACTTGTTCGGTCTAGTGTGTTAGAACGTAACCAATCAGATTCATTAGTGAGCGAAAAATGCGTATGTAGCCAGCTGACTTCGTCTTGGCTACAGCAGTGCACGTTTGTACACCAACCTGCCTGTATTAACTTAATAAAATCGGACAATACTATGACTATAACAAGTGGATAGATCGGGGCCCAGAGTACAGCTGAGGTTTTCAGGAATAGTAAGTTCCACATCACACAGAGATCACATACATTTTGGCATAGGAAGCTTATACCAAGCTGTGGTACAGAAGTGCAATGAAATCTTTTGCAAGCATATCATGAGATTCAGATTTTTTCCTCGAATATTTCTTTTCTTCATTATTAACTCTATTTTATTTTTTCTGAACTATTCTTATTGGAAAACCACGTTTGCTAGTACCTGACCATTATCACTGTCCTCATCTCTGAACTGTGGATTTTTGTCATTCTGTTTGAACTTTCTCACAGCAATGCACGGCATTTACTCTATCTGAGTGTTGCTCACTGCATCAACCTGTCCTCAGAATGTGCTGTCTATTTCAAACAACCAACAGCATTCCCGATTCTTATATACTTGGATTTATCTGGCTGTGATCAGGTATGACTGATGAGGCATTTTAATCACGTCCATTGATCGATCATACATGTAGTCACACGCGTATCATTTTTTTTGTCACTTCGAGTATTATTTGTGCATCTACTGTTATATATGGTCCCTATTTGTTTATCCAGTTGCCACCACTTGTCTAAGATTGATATTTTACGAGAAGGAATTATACTCACAAAATACTTATCATCCTGATGGCTCTTTAGGCAAATAAGAGTTTGCAGAATGATTTGATTTGTGTATCGTGGGACTTGGTGGAACATGAACATATTTTAGCTAGAAGGCGAGCTGGCTGGGAAAACGTTTATTGATACAGTTCAGAAACAACCGGTGTTCGCGTTCAATTATGCCTCTTTCTGTTGGTCAATCCGTGCTGGTTTTGGTCCGCACTTGGCACGTACGTTGCCTCTTCTTCCGCGTGCCGTTCCGGCTGGTTTGACCCGATCGTAGCGCGAGATACGTTGATTGACAGCTCCGACGTAGTGGCATTCGGTGTATATCTTTCTGGCTAGCTGCGGATCGTCTTTCGGGCTGTAATTGTCGATTCGTTCGTTTCGGGTGGTAGTCAATATTTTCTCTCGAAGTACTTCCAACCGCTACGTCTGCGCGTCTGGTTGGATGGGTCCCGTTCTTGATTCGTTCGCTAGCCGGGGCCGTCTTTGTACCACCTTACATCACAATATGTACCTGACCGAGTTATCTAATAACGCCTATCAGGATGGGAATGGAAACTCTTTAAGAAAAATACTTACTTGTGCTTGAATTAAAATTCATGAAACAATACCACTACAAAGGGACACTCCATGATCGATCGATCACTAGGTGAAAAAGAAACATTGTGAATAGTAGCGCGGTCACCGGTTCAATCCCGGGTGTCAAACAGGTTACCAAGTAGGGCTGTTGTTATTGTTGGGACAAACTGCCTTCTGCCAGGAAAACCAGCCAGATTAAGGTTAACTGAATGAAGGCTAGAATCCTCGACCAACCAAAAAGGTCAACCAACCCATTCCCTCTTTAAAAGTCAAAGTTTTATTCTGGGAATTACTTACAACCTCGTGCTTCCCTCATCTCCATAGGATATTTACACAGTTGCATCGTTTCACGGCGAAAAAGAAACCACATAGAGTTCCGGGTAGGAGATAACAGAGAATGTAGGCTTCAGTGAATTCGCGTTCTCTTTTGGAGGTGTAGGAATTTGAGATATACCAAGGTTTCGTTGAGTCTCCATTTGAAAGATCCAATAGTTGATGCACAAACAACGTGAGATGGAAAGGTGTTCCAAGTACTGCATACTCTGACTGCAAAAGATTGGCGCCGGCACTCCAGTCGATACTTTAGAATCAGTAACTTGGAACGATGCCCTTCAAGTTGTACATCGTTCGATAGCATGAGCAGCGCCTACATGGATGGTTTGGGTTCTACAATATTTGATAAGTCAAACTCAAATCTCCCCGAATGCGGCGGTACTGAGCAGAATATGGTCCCAATGATCGTAATCGGTCCTCGTGTGTAAGGTAATGCAATCCCTTGACCATCTTGGTGGCTATCCTTTGTGGACGTTCAAGCATTTTGCGATCGGGTTGAAGCCATGGACTCCAAGCTTGGGTGGCGTACTCTGTGTAGGGTCGAATGTACACAGATAGCAAGCGTGGGAACAGTGCTGATTCAAACCAGCTAAAGACTCTCCTAAGCAAATCGGAATTCTTGACAGCAGCGGACGAAGCCTTAGCGCAATTGATGAAGCAACTTAAATACTTTTGAACAACAATACCTAAGTCCTTTCCACTTGTAGTATTTGGTAGCTGCTGATTTCTGAGGATATAGGAGAATCTACTTTTGTAGCGTCGGAAAGAATTTTGCATTTAGAGACATTGAATTTTGAAGTTTTAGAGAGTCCTCAGGTTCTGTTATTATATTTCAGATTTTGGTGTCGTCTGCAAACAGTATTGTTTTTGGAACTAACACTTTCGGTGGATTATTTATGAATGCGAGGAACAGACGAGGACCGAGTACGAACCCTAGTGGATCACCGCGTGGGGCATTGATAGATCCGGATATAGAATCAGAAACACGAACTAATATGGTCCGTTGTCGGAGGAATGTTCTAACTTAATCAAACACGAAATCTCGAATGTAGTAAACGTAGAGCTCCTGTAACAAAATTGAGTGATTCACCCGATCAAATGCTTTCGAGGTAGATCACATCCACCGCATCCCCTTCGTAGACTTTTCTGGTCCATCCATCTCGAACAAGAAGCAATTTGGTGGAACAGGATCGCTTTCCCCAGAACCTGTGTTGAGCTGTCAAAAGAATGTTGTATCTTTCGAGGTGTTCCATCAGAGAATCTCCCACAATTGACTCCATGGCTTTCGGTAACACCGGAAGCAGGGTTACAGATCGGTGGTTAGCGGGGTCACTACAAAAACCACCTTTGTATTTGAGCGAAATGACTCCTTGTTTCCACGATTGTGGGAGTGTTGCTTGGTTAAACATTCGTCGGAACAGAATGGCTAGCGATTCGGATGTGATTCGCCAAAAAGATCAGGGATTTTGGGTGTATATCGCACGCACCTGGGGTTGCATTTTTTTCGCAAAGCCATTGGTTTTGCTTTGACGTTTTCAGCAGTAACTGATACGTAGGATATGGAAAATGATGCAACCGGGGAGGTAGCTGTCGACCTTCAACCTGCGGTGTAGCGAAAACGTTGAGTTTTCAGCATTTCATCTGCTTCCGTTGGAGTGGCTGCAACTCTTCTGGCGCCAAACATTAATTTCCGAATAGAGTTAACGTGCTTATAAAACAGCTTAGGGTTAGAAATGAATCTCTGTGCTAGCGCCTCTTGGTATCTCAGTTTATCCTTACGTATCAGCCTGGTGCAGTGGTTCCTCAGCATGCTATAATTACTCCACGTGACAACATTCGGAAGACGTTTATAATCTCGCCAGGATAAATTCCTCAGAAATAGCCATTTCATCGTGCGGATTCGAATAGATGAATTTCGGATGCTGGATTTGGTTATTACTCTAGTCTTAGTCACTGATGTCATTAAGTTTGTAAGACTGTCAATAAATTCCTGCCAGGCGACCAACGGAGCGGGTTCTTCCTATCACTAATCCGGCTTCTGTTTTCACTATGCCAGTCGCATAAATTTTTATCACTGGTATCCTTCGGAATAACTAATGAGGTTCCAGCCTTGTTATCGTTGCCCAGATTTCATTATAGGCAGTCGTGTTGTCCCTCGATTCGACACTGTATACAGGTGTTCAGGGCCTTAGGTGGTTCGCATTCCCATTCTTATTGCCTAGGCTGTTAAATGGCATAAAGAGTAAAATGTATTGGTGAGTATGGATTTTACCCTTTATACCTCTCGTGGTACAATGGTACTTAGTAAGAATAATTTATTTCTGTTATTGTTGACCATACAGTTTTCGCATAAAACGTTTCGACCGCTTTCGTTGAACCAACTTTGCGTACACATTCCATTTATTCTCTCGAAACCTGTAGCTTAGCGGTGGTGGTTTAGTCGCCGGTTTAGTCACCGGCGTGCTTTGGACCCTGTGGTCCGAGGTTCGNNNCCACCGCCACCCGACTTTGGTGGTAGGCAGCTCAGCTGTCGTCCGGTTCAATACCACGCCTAACCTATCGGGGCCTTATGTGGTTCGCCACTCCAAGTTGCGGGGTTTAGGTTGCCGATTTCAACCACTGAACAGTAGGTCCTCGTGACTATGGGGTTTACCCCATCTGGTGTTCATCACACCTAGGTGTGAAATGTAAAAAAATTTGTGCGAGTTCACATTGTTTTATTATTCGTCGGTTGTTTATTTCGGCCATTTATTGGGTTTTCGGCTCCCTGTATGTATTATTGACTTCTTCCAGGTTACTGAGAGCTGCATGATGTATACTCAATGCTTCCAGTGACTTGACTCACTCAGCCACCCACTCACTCACTCATTCACTCAATAAATAACTAAATAAATAAATCGATTATCCAGGTATTCAACCAATCTATCGATCGGATTGCATGTCATTAGGCTCATACGATTACTTTACATTACCGTAGGTAAATTCTAACAACTATTTTGTTCTTCAGATCGGACCGACTTGTTTGCGTGAAATCTGCAGATCCTTACCAAAAGTGAAGCACTGGATACTGAATCATTTGCCTTGGTTAGCTGATACGGAACTTAAGGTAAGTAATGTAAAAATACGTTTACTGTTCCCCCAAACCCTCGAAACTTGCTTTGGTTTGTTAACAGTTTGCAGTAAACAAAAACGCGGAATGAAACTGACGACCGATTCGGTACTAACACATTTGAGGGTGTACAGATTTACTCAAACTGTAATTTACTTATTAATTCCGAGAAAATTTAAACTTTAGACTAATGAACATTCGCCCAAGGAAGCACCATTGAGCTTCTGTCCACGGGTAGACGGAATCGCATGGAAGTTTGAACACATCGTGGGGATGAGGTATATAGAAGTACACGGGGGGATTTCTTCGACCACCAGAACCGAAAGGACTTTGAGGCTTAGCGACTTAACTCTCTTTGAAGTAGTGAAGACATGTTTTTTTTCGCTTCATTGTCGCCCTTCATTCACCACCCCCTCCAAATACAAAACAACTTAAATATATACATGGCATTTTTCTTACATATAAAGATTACTTGGTTTTGTCATTCTCAACAGTTCATGGTCGAAAAACCTGGTTTATTGTGTTTACACAAGTCAGAGTTATATGGTGGAGTAGCAATCCTTTCTGAAAAATAACTTATTCTTACATCATATGTAGTACCAAATGCCTTGTTCCGAGTGAACTTCAAAGAACAAGGGACCCCGTTATGTGGTCACCATGTTATCTCTAATCTTCTACGTCNTTCTACGTCTGATTGGACCCACGGCTCCTTGAAACACGATGGAATATGTTCGGCCACCCGCGGACTAATTTACCGTTTAGTTGGACTCACGTAGAGCATAGCAAAGTGTATTTGATTTGGCTGGAAGTGATAGCAGCTGTTGGATTAGAGGGATTATATCACCCGTTTGGGTCACATCGGTACATTGTAAG